AGCTGAGAGCAAGCAACGCTATTGTTCGTTAGGAATCTATAGCATTTTCAGTAAATTAGTAATAATGAATGCAAGGACAAAATGTATTGCAAGTCTAGTAGTTTTTATCTGGAAGGTATGTTAAAACACATTAGAATTTTTGCTTTCTGAGCATATTAAAAAGTCAGATGGCATACATATTTTAATTTAAAACCCTACTACTTACTGAGCGATGAAATGGTTACTTTGTTTAGTTCCTTGACGTTTGTTGCCATCTAGTGTGACATTTGGGTATCACATGCTAAGTAGAAGGAATTACATATTTAACATTCATAGTGGCAGTGAAAATGCCTAAGAAAATAAATACATAACTTGAGAAGTGTATAATGCCATGCATAGATTCTTGTGTGGAACTATCTTGGATAAACTCCCTACTCTTCCACTTTCTAGGTCTCTGCTTTGGGCAAGTTACTGAATATCTTGAAGTACCAGTTTCTTCAATTGAGTGATAAGAACCAATTAAAATGTATTTAGAGGGTTAAATAATCCATATATGCCACTTAGCAAAGTATCTGGCACATAGTAGGTGCTCAATAAATGTTTTTGTTTGAAAATGGAAGTTGTCTCAATTGGTGATAATTTTAAAAGAGGAAAAAAATTCACCTGGGACTAAATAGTGAGAAAAAGTAGAGGCTTTTGCAGTGACACCTTGATAATGCTACAAGACACCTTGATAAAGCTACGAGAAGCAGATAAAAAGGTTAACCATGCCTTAGGCCCGCCTGCTTGTGTTGGGCAGGGAAATTGTTGAGAGGTATGTGGAATGGCCTGAAGGTACAGGCTGTGGCATGAAGTTACCATAGGCATATCTATAATGACATAACCCTCTAAGGAAAAAAAATTTTTTTTTCTTTTTTACTCATAACAACTTGAGCAAAGTATTTATTTCAAATTTGCTAAGACCTATCCTGCCACATACCTTCATGGGTAAGTGGTGTGAACTTTTTAAAAAAGTTAATTATTATGTATACATAATAATTGTACCTATTTATTGGTTACATGTGATATTCTGAATATTAGTTTTTAAAACAGCAACCTGGTAGGTTGAACAAATATTTACAAAGACTTTTTTCCCCCTTTTGAAATATCCAAATTATTCTGTTTCTTGGATTACAGGGAGTCAGAAAGGCAGGAATTAGAAACCTGGATTAAAAATAAAATCAGAAAAGCACTGAGTTGTAGTCACAAGTATAGAAAACAATACTTCTTGATAGGCATGTTATCTGTCACAAAACAAAAACAAAGTATTAAGTATCTTGAAAAATGGTACATAGGGATAGACTGGTAAATTTCTGGTTAGCAAGGGTTTATAAATTAAAATCAATAGTTTGCATTATTTGTAAGTTAGATGCTTGAAATGTGTTAATCTTTTTAATTTTGTGGGCTTTATTATTACGTAAAAATAAAAATGTTTATAAGCCTTAAAGTTCATGTTCACAGGTGTGAGCTGTATAATTTCATAAGATCTTAATTCCTTAGTTATGAATTATTCTGTCACAAAGATTTCTTGAAAACTAACCCTAGCAGTTGGGAAGGACTTTTATATGGTCTACAATAGGTCTCCTGTTTTAAAATTTTAGTTGACAAGATATAAATTTTGTTTTTGAAAATGTTTTGACTGCCTAAGATAGTAGTGCCTACCCTTTGGTTTAATAAAACCAGGACTGGGAATATCAAGTCCAATAAACTGTGTTTGAAAAAAATGTTAATATGTCAACATAGAATGACCACAGCTAAAGAAATTTCCCAGAAAAGAAAATGTACCTTCAGGAATGAGTCTGCTGGATGGGGGGGAATGTATAATTCCCCAACTTCCTAAGACCTAAAGCCATTTCCACCAAGGAAAGGGCTGTGTTCAGGGAAGGGAGAGAAGCCAGGACTTGGAAACTACTGAGAGAAATAACAGCTGCAGGCCCCAAATTAACTTTGTCACCTGTAAAGATCTATCATTTAATGGCAATTGCCCATGTATAGCATTCAGTTACTATAAAGATCCATCATTTGATGGTAGTTGACTTTTTACTGACTTAGCCTTTGAGAAGTCGGTTACTATGTCTTTACTGAATGGTTATCGGGGTACTCAATCGACAGGGATTCTGGAAAATAGGAGAAGAAACTCTAGAATTAAGAGAAAGCTTTAATGGAAATAGTGTATAAATATTTGTTTACTACACCCAAATCTTTTAGTATGTGCGGTCCAGTTGAGTTATCTTTAGAAAGAATAAATCATTTTTCTGATTCCAAGTGTTACTACGCTTTTCTATTTTCTTCATTGTGACCGAGCATATATGTTAAAATCAAAGCAAATAAAAGTAAAAGCTATTTTTTTGTTTGTTTGTTTGTTTTTGAGACGAAGTCTCGCTCTGTCACTCAGGCCGGAGTGCAGTAGTGTGATCTCGGCTCACTGCAAGCTCTGCCTCCCGGGTTCATGCCATTCTCCTGCCTCAGCCTCCCGAGTAGCTGGGACTACAGGCACCCACCACCACGCCTGGCTAGTTTTTTGTATTTTTAGTAGAGACGGAGTTTCACCGTGTTAGCCAGGATGGTGTCAATCCCTTGACCTCGTGATCCGCCTGCCTTGGCCTCCCAAAGTGCTGGGATTAAAGGCGTGAGCCACCGCGCCTAGCCTTAAAAGCTATTTGATAATATGGAATTGTTGGTTACACGCTAAGAGACATCAATAACCAGTTTTTTGTTTGTTTGTTTTGTGTGTTTTTTGGGGACCAAGTCACGCTCTGTTGCCCAGGCTGGAGTGCAATGGCGCCATCTCGGCTCACTGCAACCTCCGCCTCCTGGGCTTAAGCAATTCTCCTGCCTCAGCCTCCCTAGTAGCTGGGACTACAGGCATGCACCACCATGCTCAGCTATTTTTCGTATTTTAGTAGAGACGGGGTTTCACCATGTTGGCCAGGCTGGTCTCAACCTCCTGACCTCAAGCAATCCACCCGCCTCAGCCTTCCAAAGTACTGGGATTACAGGCGTGAGCCACCGCACCCGGCCAATAACCAGGTTTTAACCTAATATTTGTAATCAGTGTTGTGTTGCTTATTACTCATCCTCAACCATTGGTGGTGGCTAGTCCTAATAGAGAGAAGACTATCCACAAAACCAAGGCCTTAGCAGTGGTTTTGTTTACATGATTTTACAGCTTCTCACTTTGTGCTTTTCGCTGTATCATCCTATCTTGGCATTACACCTCTTATCGTGCCAGGATTATTTACTGTTGCTTGTTCCTTAGTTGATTGAGTTCTTTGAATTGATTCTGTAGGTGCCTTTCATGGTAGCCTGGTTTTAGATCTTCAGTCTCTTCCGCTGTTCCTATACTTAATGATGTTGACTCCTGAGTTTTTGTTCAATTGAAAACTTTCTGATTGGATATATTGGTTTATATTAAGTAAGCATTTTGTCTATTCATACCAGTAGTATTCATTATATCAGGGAGAGTTATGAACATTTACTAGATTCATGTGAAATATTTTTCACAAGAGCAATTACATTTCGAATCACAAAAGTAACTAATTCATATTTCAAGCTCCAAGGGCTTAAATTATAGAAAAAGTATGCCTTTTCATTTATTTTAATATCTAATTTAAAATTTCCTTTTCCAGGCATTCTCAGCTGGAATTTGGACTTGGGACTAACTCCCTAGAAGAATCATTTTTACTCATTGTATTTGTTTATTAGTTAATCTGAGACAATTGAATTGTACCTTTACATTTTATGCTGGGAGCATAGAAACTTTTCAGAAAGACCAAAAGAAATTGGAGTTTAATGCTTTCCAGATGAAGAGAGGAAAATTCACATATCCTAGACATTTATTGTCTGAATTTATTACAGCTTTCACCAGAGGGAAGCATAACTATGCATAAAACTTACAGTGCTTACTGAGGCCATTTCAGTCTCCATTAAAATCAAATGTGACTATGAAATTTATAATCACGTAGCATGTGAGTTTTATGAGACCTGGGGTTCTTTCTACCATTTCAGGAGAAAAGAGAGGTTGTGTAAGGTGGATATCGTACATAAGGGCCACTGGAATAAGACTATAAGATGCTATAGTACCTTACTTTTATTAGGATTTTTAAAAATTGGGATTTTACTATGCAATCTATGTATGTAACTAAATTACATTTGTACCCCATACATTTATACAAAAAAAGACCCCTCCAAATTGGGATTTTTGAAGTCATATTTTATTATTGGGTGTTATAAATAAAGATATGGTAAAAGTGGCCAAAATGAAGTTAGAGAGTTTTTATTTCTGGAAATGCAGAGTGGGAAATTTACAGTAAAGGACAGTTATGAACTTTACCAGAAATGGAAGATCCTCATAAAACTAAGTAGTGAATACTGTCTTGAGTCTTTCCATTTAACTTATGATTATTACATAATTTTTACTTCAGTTGTATGTTTAAGGGGAGTGAACTAAATTTTCTCTTGGTTATATTTAAGGAAACTTGATTATTATATAGTATTAAACAAAAGATGCCTGTGTGTAATGATATATTCAACATTTCATTGTAGTATTTTGATCTACCATTTGAAGTATTCCAATAATTTTTATCCATGAGCAAATAAGAAATGAGTTAAGTTGGATGTTTATGTATTTCTTGTAGTAGAAACATGATATGTAATTGAAAATATTCGAGCACTTAGTTTTCCTGGTTCCCTTTTTTAAAATTCTGGCTCATCTGTGGCCTTCATCAAGGTTCATTACCTGAATTTTGTCATTGATTAATTAATATGGCTTTAATCATGAAAACTGAACTATGTCAATACATGTAACATTTGGATACTCTCTTAGGTCAATAAGTGGTATTGATAAACAAATACAAAATTATTCTAATAGGCTTTATAGTGAATTTTAACTATTTTAAATATACTTAAAGCTTAATTATCTCATTTTCCCCATATTTTTTCCAAATTCTAAACTCCTCTTTCAATCTCTTCTATCCTGGCAGGCTTTAATCCAGTGTGACCAGTTGAGGAAGGAGCTGGAGAGGCAGGCGGAACGACTTGAAAAAGAACTTGCATCTCAGCAAGAGAAAAGGGCCATTGAGAAAGACATGATGAAAAAGGAAATAACGAAAGAAAGGGAGTCCATGGGATCAAAGGTACTTAAGGACTCTGCTGTTATCCACATTGCAGAAGAAAGGTTTTTTACGATGCCACTGATGATTCCATAGGCTGGAGTTCTTGAATGAACCGTAAATTTTAAAATTGTTATTATGTAAGTAGTTAAATTTCTTATAATTTAGAGTTCATAAAAATGTTTTATCATTTCATATATTTCTCAATAGTTTGTGTTGATCTTTTCAGATAAAATAATCAGTTAAATTCCATAAAATGAAATTACAAAATTTACTGTAAATCCTGCCATTCTGTTGGATTCCCTCTGTCATGTTTCCCAGAGGCATGCTATGAAGATACCCAGATTTTATTTCAACCTTGGCTAAATCAAGGAGAGATGACTCCCCTGCTTTATCTCCTACCCCTAAATTAAACCTGGAGAAGATGAAAACGCTTGTAAGAAACTGAGTCACCAAGAGAAAGTGATTGTGCACTCTGTATGAAATCCGTTCTGACAAATTGAAAAGTGATTGTGCACTCTGTATGAAATCCGTTCTGACAAATTGTATACATGGTGAATGATGATGGTAGCCAGATGAAGAGAGAAATTTAAGGTGAAAGGAACAGACAGCATGAAATGAGCAGCCTTTGAAAAAGAGTTCACAAACTAGAATACAGAGTTGAGTGGGACCTAGCTTTAAAATTGCTGACTAGACTCGAATTGAGCAAGTTGTGGTCCATCAAGTAACCAAAACAACTGCGTTACATGTTTGTTTTGAAAAGTGGACTCACAGCTTGTACTCTAAATTCTATGTTGTTATAAGATTCCAATGTATGATAATTAACTCATTCAATCAATATATACTGAGAATGTACTGTGTGCAAAGCAATGTGGAGGCCTAAAGATATGTATAGAGAAAAATCACAACTTCTGCCCTGTGAGTTTTAAGTCTTAATAAGAGTAAACTCAGGCATTTTCTGTAAATGTCCTTGTCGTCTTATCCATTTTTTAAAATTGTGTCTGTCAAAACCCTACTACCTACCTTCTCTGCCCTGGATTGGTGATCTCAGCTGGTAAAAATCGCACAGCCTTGCAGATGACACAGCTGTAGACTCCAGGTCTTCGGTGTCCATGGTTCTTTCAGTGCTTTCTAGCAGTCCTCTTATGCCTTCCTCTCTCTTCTTCATTCCACACTCAACAGATATTAACTGGGGGGGCTGGGAATGTTGTAGTCACAGGAACGATGCAGTTTCCTCATGAAGCTTACAAACTCGTAGGAGAAGTAGACATTACACAAATATTTTCATAAGTGAGTTTTCGATCATCATTGCGATAAAGCCATAAGGTTCAGTTTAGGATACCGTGGACATGGGTAACAGGAATCTGACCTCATCTAGGCAGTCACGAAAGACTTTCCTGAGAAAGAGATGTTGAAAATGAGACCTGAAAGCATTGACGAGTGGTCAGGTGAAGAGGGGAAGAGGGTTTCAGGCCCAGGAAAATAACATGTCCAAGACTCTGGACCTGGAAAGGATCGCACTTTCTAGGAATTTGGAGAAGGCCCTGATGGCTGGAGCATAGAGAGAGAGAAGCAGAGTAGTGGGAATTAGTTTGGAGACTTATGTTGGGATGGAATCATGAATGGCTTTAAAATCCATATGAAGGATTTTCAGTTTTGTCGAAAAAGGGATGGAAAGCCATTGAATGGCTTTGAATTTGTCAGTGTCACGATGCCATTTATATTTGAGAAAAATCATTTTGTCAATGGATTGGAAGGAGAAGCAGAATCGATGCCTGGAGATCAGCTGGAGGTGATTCTCGTAGTCCAGGTCTGGAAGTGGTTATTGCAGTCCAGGTCTGGAGGTGACTTTCGCGGTCCCGGTCTGGAGGTGACTTTCACGGTCCGGGTCTGGAGGTGACTTTCGCGGTCCCGGTCTGGAGGTGACTTTCACGGTCCGGGTCTGGAGGTGACTTTCGCGGTCCGGGTCTGGAGGTGACTATCGCGGTCCGGGTCTGGAGGTGACTATCGC